GTTTTACCAAGCAGCCAGAGCAGCATGAATCAATCACTCTTCAAATAGATTATTTTCCCAGCACTTAAATATATACATATTTTTAAATGCACTTTGGCCATATCAGCTATGTAATCAATCAAGTTCAGTTACAAAGTCATCCCAACATTTGCTAAATCTTTTTATTATTTGCTTTAAAACTAAATTCCAGAATGGTACACATCCAACTCTTAAAGGAGTTCTTCTCATAATTCACATTGTCTGAGAAAATCCCCTCTCTGATCTGATATTTTTATTATGTAGATAAGATTAAAAGGAAAGTTTAAATAAGATTTTAAATTTAAGGTACCATTAGATTCTTTTCTGATTTCAGTTGCTCTAATAGAAGTAATACCCAATTTAAAGATAAGAGTTTTCCTGAACTTCAGGTCCCAAAGGAGTAACTGTTATCAAATGAGTTCTCCCATCCTCAAAAACTATAAAATAAAACAAAATGTACAAAGCAATTGTTTTTCAGACATTGGGCAACAGACAGCATAAGCCTGTTTCTACATTGAGTGGCCAGATTATTATGAACACCCCATCAGTACTTCATTGACTCTCAAGGTTTTATTATTATTATTATTTGCATAACTAATTCACTTCATTGTACTGATGGGGTGATCATAATAATCTGGCCGGTCATAATAATCTGGCCACTCAGTGTATATACTAACAGATAATTGGTAAATAAAAAATTTAAATGTACAATTCAATACCATTAAAACTATTAGATATTTAGAATTAAATTTAACAAAATAAGTGCACTAACTGTATTGAAAACTATCAAACATTGCTAAGAGAAGTTAAAGACAAATAAATGGATGGGTAAAACATTAATTTTCTCAAAACTGATCTATAGATTCAACATAATCCTAATCTACAATCTATTGTCTTTTTCTGGATGAAAACTAATAAATTGATTCAAAATTTACATAGAACTGCAAAGGATCTAAAATAGCTAAAAGAACCTTGAAAACATGGACAAAGTTGGAGAATTTACACTACCTGATTCTAGTCTTATTGTAAAGCTACAGTAACCAAGACATGTGGTGGCTTAGGGATAGACAAATAGATCAATGAAACAAAATTGGCTCATATATAAGCAATCAAATTGATTTTCAACTAATGCCCTAAGTTAGCAGTTGGCAAACTGCGGCTCGCGAGCCACATGCGGCTCTTTGGCTCCTTGAGTGTGGCCACAAAGTTTCAATCGCACAGTACTGCGCGCCCGCACGTGGTATTTTGTGGAAGAGCCACACTCAAGGGGCCGCAGTTTGCCGACCACTGCCCTAAGGCATTTCAGTGAATGAGACTGAAATAACCAGATAAACACATTGGAAAAACTTCTAAATATCTACCTCTACCTCATACATACAGAAAATTTAATTCTAGATGAATCATATACCTAGATATAAGAACAAAATATATAAAGCTGCTAGAAAAAGATATGAAAATATATCTGTAACTGTGGTATAGGCAAATATTCCTTAAGACGCAAAAAGCCTTAACTAGAAATTTAAAAAATGATAGTGTTCTTCATCAAAATTTAAAATTTATGCTTATCATAAAAAAGGGATAAAATAAGGCGATGGGATTAAGTACATAATGTTAGTTTCAAAACAGGCATGGGGATGTAAGATAAAGCATAGGAATACATTTAACAATATTGCAATGACTATGGTACCAGGTGGGCACTTGAATTATCTGAGCAAACTTGGTAACTTATATGAATATCTATCTGCTGTGCTGGACACCTGAAACTAATGCAAAATTGTGTTGAATGGGAAAATAATAAATGAATAATCAGCTGAAACCTGAAAAAAAAATGAGTACAGTTAACAACAACAACAAAAAAACCCCCAAGGTTAAGAACATGAAAAAGCAAACCACAGCCAGGAGAAAGTACTCAGACTAATACATACATCCACGATATATAAAGAACCCTAAAAATAAATAATTAAAAAAATCAAACACCATAATTAAAAATTTATGGCCCTAGCCAGTTTTCTCAGTGGTTAGAGCAGCCGTGGGCAAACTACGGCCCACGGGCCGGATCTGGCCCGTTTGAAATGAATAAAACTAAAAAAAAAAAAGACCGTACCCGTTTATGTAATGATGTTTACTTTGAATTTATATTAGTTCACACAAACACTCCATCCATGCTTTTGTTCCGGCCCTCCGGTCCAGTTTAAGAACCCATTGTGGTCCTCGAGTCAAAAGTTTGCCCACCCCTGGGTTAGAGCATCAGCGTGTGGACTGAAGGGTCCAAGTTCTATTCCAGTCAAGAGCACGTGCCTAGGTTGCAGGCTCGATCCCCAGTAGGGGGCATGCAGGAGGCAGCCAATCAATTATTCTCTTTCATTGATGTTTCTATCTTTCTCTCCCTCTCTGAAATCAATAAAAATATATTTTAAAAAATTATGAATAACCAACAAGCACAGGAAAATGTGGTTGACATCATTAGGCACCAGAAAAATGCTAATTAAAACCGCAATGTGATACCACTTCGAACCTACTAGACAAGCTACAATTAAGACAGAGCAAAACCAACTATTGGCAAATAGGTCAGAACTGGAACTCTCATACATTGCTAATGGGGGTATAAAATGATACAAACTTTCTGGAAATCATTTTGGTAGTTTCTTATAAAATTAAATATGCAAATATACTCTAACCCAGAAATTCCACTCCCAGGTATTTACCCAAGGTAAAATAAAACACACTCCACAGATACACTTGTAAGGAATGTCTATAGCAGCTTTTAACACAATAGCAAAAACTGGAAACAATCCAAATGTCTACCAAGAGGAGAATGGCTAAACAAATCGTGGTATATTTATATAATGGACTAGTGCTTAAAAATTTTAAATAAGCACTGATAGACACAACATGCAAAAACACTGAGTGAAAAAAGGCAGATTTTAAAAGAGCATATATTGTATAATTACATTTATATGAAGTTCAATAAAAGAGAAGCACTAGTCTATGGTGATAGAAATCAGAATAGTGGTCGCCTATGGAGCATGGGGACTGACTAGAAGGAACACGAGAGAACTTTTTAATTCTATATTTTGATTGGTAAGATGGATACACTATGTAAATATTTGTCAAAATTCATTGAAGTGTACACTTAAGATGAGAGCATTTCACTGTATGTAAATTTCACCTCAAATTACCCTCAGTTAAAAAAAATGTGTATTCCTTACGCTGTTAAATAAATCTCAGGTCACTCCATTGAAATTATTAAATTACCAGGCCCATCTACAAATATTTGCCCAATAATACAATTGGATTAAAGTAACTATAATACTCAACAACAATGGATAGTTCTGCTTATCAATTGTATTTATAAATAGATTGTTCATTTATTTAGTATTGCTTCTAGTAATGGATTTTGACTTCTTAAAAATCTATCTATAGAATTTTTCCTAATTTTACTTTCCTGTTCCCTTTATTACATGAGATTTACTATTTATATTTAATTGAATTTAGAGTTCTTTAGAAATGATTAGAAAACTAAATGTTGTTTTAAGATTTAATATAAAGTCACCAAACCTTGTGTATTATAAGTCCCTCATAGAAGAAGTTCCTGCATAGACAGGTAAAAAGCATGGTTACAAAAGATTTCCCCAGGACTATGCTGAGTCTTGCTCTTGGGTTTCTGTGCCTTTTGTTAGACTATCTTCAATGAGGTCTTGATTCATCCACATCTAAACCTCTCTTTTTTAATGGAGTTGCAAAGAGATAGTATCCAGGACAAAGGAAGCTTTTTATTAACTTCTGCTTTAAATTGAACATTTTAATTAGGTTTCAGAACAAAAACATTATGGCATAATGAATAAATCTATAAGAGTGTACAGCAGGTCCTCAAATAACATCCTTTCCTTATAATGTTGATGAGGTGCTGCAGGAACTTAAGTCTTTACATCAATTAGCTTGTGATAAAACTGGTTTTTGCTGATAGCCACATTAATGACATTAAGTGAAGACCTACTATAGCACTGCTTAGTGTTCTTGCAAATTTCCTATTACAAAAGAAACAGACATCACTCCTTCTGAGGTACTACAAATAAAAAAAATACATTCTGGGTAAAAAGCAAGCATCTAAGACTGAGAACCATCCCTTGGAGTCACGCAGGGTTCTGGGGTGTACCCTGCGGAGTCCTCCCCAGCCTCTGTTAACCTGAGCTGGAACCCTTCTGCCGGGCTCCCTCAGAGCTCCCACCTACCTACACAGTCTGTGTCCAAATCCACTCCCCAGCACCCTCCACCGCCCTGAGATTCTAATCCCTCCTTCCTCTAGTAAGCAACACCACACACCTAACTACCTAGGGTCACAAAGGTAGGGGTGCTGGAGAGTCTACATCTGGACAATATACACATTAATAACAAATATATAAACTTCACCAGCTCAAAAGAAAATTAATGTGGGGGTCTGGCAATCTCATCGTAATGGGGTAATTGTGCTCACGCATGGCATTGCCTAGCAACAGAAGAAGCAGGCAAATTCCAACATTGGGGTGTAATGAATCACTCCCTGACTACTGCTCACAAATGGTAATTTGATGGGAAGATATTCACATCTCGTTCAACCTGGAACAAGACTTTAGAGAATTCTGCAGACTCCAATTGAGAGAAGCAGCAGGTATTCCACCAACAGACAGGCTCCGGAACAAAGGAGACTGTTCCTGTTTATTCAGTTGAATATATGCTTTTGTTTAAAAACAAAACACAACTTTGATGGCCTTGTCTTTTTATGATACTTTGGGTTGGCTTTGCTCCAACTTCTACAGCTTCAGATATAGTTAGTGAATGTCACAAATATGAGGCGGTCAATATGAAAAATAAACAACAGGATCATCAAGGTTGAACTAAATCACTTCAGAAGGCTTGAAAGAGACAGCCCCCTTTCCCCTAGAAGCCACACGCTACTTCAAGCTCAGTGTTTTTTAATCAAGGTATAGAAAGAGTCCACATACGAGCGAGATCTGTGTCTGGATCGCCTGTTGTTGGGGTCCGCCTGGTTTTTTTCCTTTTGTCTCCTTAATACAGCTTCCCACTGAGGCGCTGAATCAACCATGTCGTTCTCCTGCCGTATTCTGAAAAGCAAGACCATTCATCTAAAGTTAATGTCCACACATGTGGTGCTTTGTTTTTTTGGTTCATCCTAAACCAGCTTTTAAGTGATATTAAGAAATGATCAAGTTACTTAAAAGTGATTAAGAAAAATGAAGTTATTTAAGAAGCAATTTCATTATCATTAACTCAAAGCTAAGAATGTGTTGAATGGATTAACACATAAGTATATATGTATTTCTGTATAAATATTATAATATATAATATGTATGTACTTGTATATATGTATATACTTATGAATATAGTATAATATTTATACATACATGTAAGCATGTATTAGTTATATTCAGACTTCTACCTTTGTCTTAAAATTTTCTTAGAAAACGGTGTGTCAAACAAAAACATATTTAAGATTTTTTAAAATTTACTTTGCTACTACAGTTGACATTCAATATTTATTAGTTTCAGGTGTACAGCAGAGTGGTTAGACATTTATATAACTTATGAAGTGATCCCTCCCATAAGTCTAGTACCCATTTGACATATAACATATTCAAGTTTTGACTAAAGAGTGGCATCTGCTATAGAGACAATCTTAAGTCATGAGAGAAAATCATTTTTTAAAACGTGCTAACCAAAGCAGCAATAAATAATTGTATGTTAAATGCTCTTTAAAAAATCATACTAGTCAAAGTTTTCATGGTCAATAATTTCCAGATATAATTCTGATTGTTTAAGCCAGAAAACTAGAAGTGCAACAAAGTTAAATGTGGTGGCATCGTGCATTAGCTGCTGGGCAGGCACAGAGCATTGGGGCTATGGCTGCTCACAGGCCCAAGAGGTGTGAACACTCAAGATGGCCAGGGGCCAAGCAGGATATGTAAATGAGGGACCAGGAAATCCAGAGCAAATCAGAAGCAGAGGTAATTGGGGAGCATAGGCACCCGCCATGTGAGATCACAGGACAATGATACCAGACTTTTTATTTTTAAAAAGATAATCCACAAATCTGAATGTTTAAAGTGAACTCTTCCGATTTTAAGTAATGGCAAGCAATTCTGTGTGTAAGGTATCACATGGACCTAACAAAACCCACCCATGGACCACACTGAAGAAGTTCTGGATGTTCACTATATCGTCTTTTTGGTAACAAGATGAGGTATTGTAGGAGTGAAGTTAAGTGAGTGCATAATTAAAGCAAGTGCTTAATTAATGTGTAAATACTGTCTGGGATGCACTGCAACGCTGTGAAGCCATGAGTATTCCTTGCAAAAATTAAACACCTGTTATTTGAATATTTAACTTTTAATTTATGTAAATCCTCAGGAAACTGTTCCGGTGTGTTCATTTCACACACTGAGACTCCCAGGGTGTGGGAGAGAAGCACTAAATTGCAAGGAAATCAACCCAATACTGGGACTGGATGAGCATAAATGCTTCAAAACCAAAATGAAGTGAACAGGTAAGTTTGGAGTCATTTCTCTCGCTAAACAGATGTCTTCTGGTTGCCCTGTGACAGCACTTAATATAGGCTGTTGTGTGGATACTTGGATTTGCTTATAAATGCATATCAGTAGATGGATAGTAAATATTCATTTCACATATAACTTAGGGACAATGTAAGGCAAATTCAAGTAAAAAAAAACAACAGAGTACCTTCTGAGGTAGAAACTGTTTAAATCTCTCTAGATTAAGGAGGAATTGTGTTAAGTGAAAAATTATCTGTAACACACTTCAAACCCTTGAACTGTATATATTTCCTTGCTAAAGCTTTCCATTCTAACAGGCTATTTGAAAATTAACAGGATACAGTCACGGTATGTTTCACAGATTCCTTCTCTCATGGCATGAACAGAGGAAATTAAAATCCAACATATACTGCTATGGATCTCAACATTACAAGTATTTGAAGAAAAATAAGAGTAAACTGCTTGAGGACATAATTATTAACCATTGTTTGAAACACTCCAATTTGAAAATGCTATGTGCTTATATATGTGTGTGCTTATATATACTCATACATACATGTATTTTTCACAGCCAGAACCTACACTTCAAACCATCTTACGGATTCTGTGACAGTCTGATGGGGGAGCAGAGCTGGACTGAGGGATTCAAAGTTAGATCAAAACAGTCAGTGGGGAAGTAGCGGCTGGCAAGGAGGTATCTCCTTCCCCCCAGGCACCCACACCTCACAGTGCCCAGGGAAAGACATGAAACCCAGGTCTCCTAACTCCTAATCCTCCAGAGCTTCCATGCTGAACAATATGGCTGCATAGTCATGGGCAGGACTAAATTTCACAATGTGCGTGTTTGTTTTATCAGGAAATCACCATTTTTATTTCTGAGAGGTCAAGCCTTATGAGCAAGGCTGAGGCCAGACTTTGGCAAACAGATTTTTCCCAGAGGATAGACATTTAAAAGGAAGCACAACGAGTGTATGTGCATTCTTTTATCTATCTATCTATCTATCTATCTATCTATCTATCTATCTATCTTATTGTGCATTCTTTATTGTAGAATTTAACTGGCTACCTTCATACTAAGCCAGTGATGGCGAACCTTTTGAGCTCGGCGTGTCAGCATTTTGAAAAACCCTAACTTAACTCTAGTGTCGTGTCACATATAGAAATTTTTTGATCTTTGCAACCATAGTAAAACAAAGACTTATATTTTTGATATTTATTTTATATATTTAAATGCCATTTAACAAAGAAAAATCAACCAAAAAAATGAGTTCGTGTGTCACCTCTGACACACGTCATAGGTTCGCCATCACTGTACTAAGCTCTTACCTTGATGAAGAAAATGAAAGCTCCTGAAACATGAGCCCAGAGTCCTGTACCTTGCTACTGATAAGAACGACATCGGAAGAAATTTCAGACTATGGCATGTTCCTGTAACTCTTCTAAAAGTCTAAAGCAAGGGCAGTGAAACCCTGGCAATGAATATCCTTGTGACCCACATGTTTAAAAGACAGATGCCCTCTACTGGCGACACTGCTTCATAAATATTCGAACGCGGTGCATTAAAAATGTAAGGCTCATTGAAGAGTCACAACAGAAGCACATTTTCCTGAGTAATGGTGGCGTGGCTGTCTTAGTCTGTAATGAAGTTTGAAATTACACCCTTACAAAAGGCTTCCAGTTAATGGTGCCTCATTACAAGAATGAAAGTGTCATTTCGCCCATCAATGAACTGTTCCAGAAAATACAGGTGCTGCATGGAAAGGAAAATCTTAGGACTAGAAGCAAGAATATTATACCATCCAGTCCTTAAGAGGCAGAAGTTAACTATTTTGTTTATGCATGAGTGGATAAATAAATCTTTAAATGTAAAGGCAGCTCCTATAATGCACCTTGTCTCATCCATCCTTAGGTGTGGGATACACAAGTGTTGGCTTTGCTCCTTTTCTGTGCGTATGGGAGAGAGAGAGAGAGAGAGAGAGAGAGAGAGAGAGAGAGAGAGAAGAGAGAGAAACATTGATGTGAGAGCAAAACATGGATGGGCTGCCTCCAGCATACCTCCCACCAGGGATTGAACCCACAACCTGGGCATGAGCCCTGACTAGCAATCAAACCAGCAACCTTTTGGTGCCCGGAACGACACCCAACCAACTGAGCCACACTGGTCAGGGCCTTCCTGCTATTTTAATTATGATGTGGGGATTTACATTAAGAAAAACAGTACCTTTTAAAAAGTCAAAATGTGCTCTCACATGACAGTCATGAAAGTATCAAGGGGAAGGGGTCAATGGGAGAAAAAAAGGGGGATACCTGTAATACTTTCAATAACCAAAATAAAAAATTTTTAAATGTCAAGGGGAAAAAAGAGTCCACTGTAATTTTCACTGGGGAAATATTAATTTTCAAATGTTACATTTAAAGTGAACCTGAAAAATGCTGTTTCCTTCCTGTATCCTTAGATGCAATAACTCTAAATTTATCATATTATACCTATTTTCTTATCTAAAACTATGCAGAGTTAATAGTTGGGGTAGGGAGCATTATGACAAGGCTTTTGTTTTTTAATGTGTAAGGAAGGAGGTTGCTTCAAAATAGAACAAATTTCAATGACATTTCAGGATAGAAGAATTCTAATATATTTCCCCCACGTCTCACCAAATTTCAACACCTTACTTTTCCCGGAGATGCATGCAATTTAGATTATAAGTGTATGTGACACTTAATTAAAGTCTGCAAAAGGTTTGGAGATGAAACGCCATATAATCGTTTGATAACAAAAATGAAGATAATGACTATTCCTAGTCTCTTCTTTCCTGTCTGCCCAATTATAGTTCGGCCTCTTCTGCAGAATTCTTCACATTAAATGAATTCTTATACAAACTCTCATGGGCTTTGCTCTCTACCTTTACCCAGGCGGATTTGTTCCTAATAGGACCATCCTTTACACCAGTTCTAATTCACTACTCATTCACTGAAATAAAGACCATATTTAATGCTGAACCTGAGAAATCTCACAAAGCAAATGTATAATGAAGCTCCAAGAATGTATGAGCAATACACGGCGCTCTGCCTGGTCCCCGCTCTGCCATTATCTGGGCAAATTGCTTATCTTCTTTGGTCAGGTGTCAGTTTTTCATCTACCTAATTATTGCGAAGATCCTGTCTAGCTTTAAACTCTATTTTTCTCTATTTGTGTTTTATTTCAAACCAGTCAGACACATTGAGACAAACCTCTACTCTTCATCTATGGCACGGCTTTCCAGACAATTGCTTCATATGACCACTCCATCGCTGATATTAAGTCTGCGGGTCCCAACTGACTGTAGCCTTGTGTTTCTCATCAACTGCACTCATTTTCGGATCACCTGCTATAAACCAACCTTCTTTTTCTTTTATTTTCAGTTTTTCTTCCCTAGGGAAATTTATGTTGGTTCCAGGCATCTGTCGACCTACTCCCTTAAGACCACCAAGCAAAAAATTCATTTGCTTTTCCCAACTTTCCCCCATCATCAATAAATTATTCTTATTTGCTCTTAAAGATGCTTCTGTCTCTTCCACTTATTCCTTATGCTCTCCCTGCAAAATAGGCTACCTTTTGGTGCAATTTCTCTTTCAAGCTCTCCTTCTGTTTTCCTAATTTTTCAACCTGCTTTGCCCTCGCTCAGTAATCAGACGTCATCCTTCAGCGGCTACAGCGTTGCACCTCCACAGTCATCTCTGTCAACTTTGATTATGCTCTGGAAGCCCTAATTCATCCATATCAAATGTCTACATTTTGAAATGACTTATTAGAGTGGAAATCAGAAACCCTCGCAATCTGTAGCATGGCGAACACTGCTTCCATTGGCTTCGTATGATCGGTTCTCTCTGGGCCCATAATTTCTACCTGGTCTCAGCCTCTACCTAAATCAGGAACAGGGCAGGAGGGAAGGCAAGCAAGGAAACAGTTGCCTCCTTTCAGGCTATCTGAAATAAATGCCCTACTGGTTTAAGCTTGCTATCATCCAAAACACATTTTTGTTTTGGTTTGTGTTTTCCCTTCGGGCACAGGGACAATAAAGTTCTTTTTTTAACCCCCCTGCAAAATCCTGCCAACATCAGGCCCTACTCAGATGCATCGTCCCTGTCAGTTGCAGTGCCACAGAAGACAGTTTCTTCTTCTTTTTTTTCTTTTTAGGAAAATAATACAAAAGACCTTGTGGAACATATTTAAAATATTTAAAGCCATCTTAATCCATTATTCAGATACAGATTCTAAAAGAGATCTAAAGGGCAGGAAGAAACTAACAATATTTATGGCAGGAAAATTTCATGTTAGAAACACGGACGTCCTTTTTGTTAAAGGGAGCTGGGCCCTGGCTTACAGATACAACAGGGACTTCAGATAGCAGGGAGCAGTGCTGACTGCTCTCACTCATCTACAGTACCTGCCTGTGCAGGACACTTCCTACTTCTCAAAGCACATTTATTATTTCCTGGATGTTTACAAAGCTCTTGTGAGGTAGACAGGACAGGTATCATTCCACTTTGCATAAGGGAAAACTGAGATTCAGAGGGTAAGGTAACCAGCTCCTAGCCACAGAGTTCTCCAAAGCTGGGTCAAATTTATAGCACAGGCTCCTGTGCTCTACTGCACCCGTGTGTACACACATGCGCCCACACACAGCCTCACATACATAACTAACGAGTTTGTGATGCAAACATCCCAGGATAAAATCAGGGAAAGGTCCAAATGGTCTCCTGTTGCCAATTTACGCTAGTCCTGCTCTTACTCCAGGCTTCTCATTTCTTTTATTCTTCTATTTTAAAATCCTCACACGAGGATATTGATTTTTTTTTTTAGAGAGAAACATCGATGTGAGAGAGGAACATCAATGGGTTGCCTCCTGTATGCACCCCAACCAGGGATTGAACCCATAACCTAGGTATGTGCCCTGACTGGGAATGGAACCCGCCACCATTTTTGGTGTATGGATGATGCTCTAACCAACTGAACCACCCGGCCAGGGCATCTTTTACTCTTGTAATCTTCACCAAGCTCCAGAGTTACTTCCACTTGTATGCTTATGCAAAAAACACCAGACTGCTTCTCAAGTCGCTGCCCCTCCACCCCCTCCAAATCCCCCACTTCAAAATCCTAAAAGCCTAGCCACACATCAAAGCTAATGACTGGGTAATCCACAGATTCTCCCTGGTGAATGCTCAAAGGATGCTGATTCTCATCAATAGCACAGAGCATGTTTTGCAGACTGGTTTCTTTGAATGTGCAGGATATTTTATTAAACTCAAGTTGTTTTCAGGGAAAGCTGGTTTGTGAAAGGTTTCCCTCTGATAAATCTACTTCCTGGGTTCTCCTTCAATATACACCCTGGGCAAGTCCAGAGCACAGCCCACGCACTCCAACCTCTAGCGACCAGATGGCTGACCCTTCAGATCTCAAGGATAAGATTCAAAGTTCTAACGAGTGCACATGAATACAACAGGGCTGAATTTTGAGACCTTGCTGCAGGAAGCAGAACATCATCAGGTTCAAGGCAGTCTGCCTCATTCTAGGGTCACCAGAGTCCTTTGATAAAAGCACAGAGGACTCTGTGGAGAGCCTGGCTGGGTCACACTGCTTCTGGGATAAGGAAGGGCAGATGGAGTAGAAGAGATATATCCTCTCCCCAAAAACAGAGTCTTCTGCACAAAGAGGAAGTCAGGAGAGGACCCTCCATCACAGACAGAAGACCCATTAGGACCATCAGCAGGGCTGCAGTTTAAATATTCAGACCTACGCATCCTGATGTGGAAGGAGTGGGTTCTGGCAAAATGTGAAAGGCAAATAATGGGATCGAGGGTTAGTGGAAGCACAGAGTTATGTGTAAGTGGCCCCCGGAGACAGCCGTGCTTGCAGCTTCTCCTGCACACCCGCCGCCACCTGCTGCACGAGAATCTGCAGGAGTGGGGATTGCAACTGAAAGACGTATTTCTTCCTCTGCCCACTCTTTTGCTGTGCCCCTGAGATCTAGACTCTAGACCTCATCTTTGACAGACACAGGCAACTTATGAAACCCCGGGGCAATATTTCTACAGGTAAAATGAGTCTGAAAGCCTCTGTGTCGGTGTGTTTTGAAAGTGATTTCTCATTAACAGCCTTCCAAAGCACATTAGCACTTACACACTCAGAACCACCACCATCCTAAAATACACTACTTACACAATACAAAGAATCCCAACCTAAAAAGCTGTGCCTGGGGAGGGGTGGGAGAGAAAGTCTTGAGGGAGAAAACACCTACAAGGAATACTGGAGCTGGTGAGCAAGTAGAACAGTAATGAGCTATTTAAGGACTTGCTGGCAACCCTTTAATAGTGTTTCATTTTGAACAGCAAATGTCACCATGAGTGCTTTTGGCCCCAAAAGACACTATTTTTAAACAGGCCACCATCTGAGAAGTTGAGACTATAGCGTCTACGAGCACAATTTAAAATATACCAAGCAAAAGAGAAATAAATTTGTTAAGATACTGGCTTGATCAGTTAGTACAACTGTGTGTGTGGTGGGGGAGAAGGTGAGATATTTTGCTTTGTTTTGTGTTGTTTGTGAAGACTGTGAATTTTAGAGCAGGAAGAGGGGACCTCAGGGAGAGCTGCCCTCCACACTTGGGCTTTTACAGAAGAAGAAACGGGATCACTTCCTTGAGAAGAGTGTTATAACACACTGAGATCTCACCTCTATGCAGTGTGAGTCCAGCCCCAAGAAGGCTCCACAGAGAAAGCTCCCCTAAGAAAATGGTCTGCGCTCACAATGCTGTCTGGGCTATTATTGCACAGGCTTTGTAGTCGGAGAGGGAGGCTGATTCAGTGTGTGCCAAGCACAAGGGCTCTGAGTACTAAAGAAGGACCTTGGAGATTATCTCTTCCAACTTCCTCATTTTACAGAAGATAAAAAAACGACCCAGAAAAGCAAAAACAACCAGGCCAGAGTTCCACCTCAGGTGAGAATGGGTTTCTAACAGTAGCACTACTGACATGTTTTTGGGGCCAGATATTTCTTTGTTGTGGGGGGCAGTCTGTACATTGTAGGATATTTAGCAGTATCCTGGTCTACAGCAATCCCCTCGCCCAATTATGACAATCAAAAGTGTCTCAAAACATGGCCAAATATCCTCAGGGAGCGGAGGGGAGGGAAAAATTGTCCCCAGTTGAGAACCACTGGGTTAGCAACTGGCACAGGAGCAACCGAATCCTTCTCACTCCCAACCTAGCACTATGAGAACACCTGTTTTCAAATAATTATTTTGCTACAAGCGAGAACTGATTAATGCATTAAGCCATCACTAATGCTGATTACATGTCAAATGATGTTATTAAAAAGCTCTTAAAAAATGAGTCTTAAAGATATGAATAAACTGCATTTCCCCATCTAATTGTATGTGCCTAACATAAATATAAACACATATTTGCATATACATCTAAATGAGGCTGAAACTATAGAATCCATACAACAATGAGTCCCTCATTTTTGGTTGGGCAAAATATAGTAACATCACGTTAAAAGATACTTCAGGGACACCAGCCGGTATGGCTCAGGGGTTGAGCATGGACTCATGAACCAAAAGGTTACCGCCTCAATTCCAGATCAGGTCATATGCCCGGGTTGCAGGCTCAATTCCTAGTGTGGGGCGATCAATTATTCTGTCTCATGGATGTTTCCATCTCTCTCTCCCTCTCCCTTCCTCTCTAAAATCAATTTTTTAAAAATATATTAAAAAATACTTCAGGGAGAAACCCCTCTACTCACAGTAAAATTTCTTACTACCCTTAGACAAATTCACTACATGTTGTACCTAAGTATAGATCAACTTTGTTTTTAATTAACAAGATGGAACCTCATTGTCAAACTGTTTAATTATCTTATTATAAAGATAAGAAACTCAGTTCAAAGAGCTGAGGTTTCCTAAAAGACGGCTTCAAAATAGTGCCAGATTGCTTCTTAAACACAGGTGAGACAATCCGGCTTAAAAATACACAGGAAGCCCAGCTTTCACCACCGACAGCAGCCTCTGCTTTTGCAGGTCCAGCTAGCTGTAATATTCCAGTATTACCTGTTTCTCTTTTTCCGGTGTTCTCGATTGGAATTTTCTGATTCACTACCACTGCTTGTGTTACAGCGCGAGCGGGACCTGAAGACAAAATAAGAGCAAGTGAAAAACTCACATTTAAGACAAATGGAAAATTTTAGAAAGGTTCATGTTGGTTCTTTGGAATTAATTCCATAGTAAGATTACTAACCCAAACGTAAGTAGCTTCCCTCCCCCGGTCAGTGTTTCTCAATCCAGTCAGACATCTGAATGAGTCTAAAGAAGTGTGATTAGATTAAGGCGAATGTCACTATGCTCCCAGAAGGACTAAAAAAACCAATCACTTCCAACAGAAATCTGACATAAAGCTATAAGCCCCTGTGCTAAACCAAACCTCCACCCTTCATTGAGAGGCAGAGTTTATTTCCTCTCCCCTTGAATTAGTGCTCGTCTTGGGGCTGATTTTACCAACAGAATGAGGTGGAAGGGATACTCTCACAGTTCCAGGACTAGCCCTTAACAGGGCTGGTAGCTCCTGATTCCTCCCAGCCACCAGAGACCCCGGAGAGGGGCCCCAGGCCTCCAGCCACTCTGCCAGGCACCAGACAGAAATAACCCAACCTCAGCCACCATCCAACTGAAACTTTGTCTGAAACTAGCAAAGCTAACTAGAAAAACTTCCTGTTCAATCAACAGAATTATAAAAGAGGTATAGGTGATTACTGTTGCTTTAAATACACCAAGTTTTGGAATGGTTTTAATGTAGCAGCAGATAACTCAGACAGCTCCTCTGGGAGCAGAAACAAGAGAGATTGCTAAGGGTGCTACAGAATGGAAGACTGAGAACCAGCTGACACCCATTTCAGGTAAAAGAACACATTTACAGTACTCTTAAAGCAGTCACTAATAAAACAAACAAGAAAGTCCCTCCTCTGGCCTCAGTTCTGAGCTCTGCTAATCTGCTGATCCTGCCTCCCTCTCCTGGGCCCTCCTTCCCATTTTGTGTTTTTGTTTGTTTGTTTGTTTGTTTTTTTTACCTCCTCCTTTGCTTTAGATCTGAGTCTTCACCACTGTTATGGGCTTTCCTATGGAAAACAAATAAATGAAGACATTAAAGAAAATAGAAAGTTATCAATTGGCTAAGGAAAGCACACCAAAATGAGTTTCACTTCATGTATATGCTACATAGTCATTCATTATCAAACATTGGAATCGGGCACATATGTCCATCCCTACAATAGGTCCCAGAAATAGACTACCAATTGGCTTCAAGAAACCAGCAACCTAGTGGAGGCACAACATGTCTGTTAAATTCCATTCATCCAGTGATGCAGTTAGTCTAAAGTTTCAAGGTCTGCAATCCATCAAGCCAAATTCTGCCATCATCTGACATCAGCTCTCTCCTGGATGCCCTTCCCAACACCCTGGCTTCCAAGTCCCCTTGACCTTTTCTCTAATAATCTCTTCACAATAACGCAGCACCCACATCCTGGTCACACTTGAACTTTATCCTCTGTAACCACCTCTAATCACTGCTCTCAGACCACAATCCCCTCCACCCCCACACCCCCCTTTACCACTTCTATTTACTTTCAAACAGCTTTGATGGGGTATCCTGGTTAAAATGTGAGGACTCTGGAGCCAGACAACCTGAATATGAATCCCACCTCCTTCATTGATGAGTTGTGATTTAAATTATTTCTCTATTCAGTGCCTCCATTTTAACAGAACCTCCCACAAAAGGTTGTTATTAGGACAAAATGAATTAATACATTTAAAGTGTATAGAGTAGGATCTAGCCCATTGTGTGCACTCAATGAATGTTAACTGTTATTACTGCTCATTCAACTACTTCCATTCTACCTTTCTTTGACCTCAATAGGATTATGTGCCTATTGACTGTGTGATTATCCATCAGCTCTTTCCCTCCTTCATTCCCTCTCTGACTCAGCTTAGATTTCTATCATCTCAATAACATGCATGCCAATACTCAAAACTTCCTCCAACTTTTTGTTTTCTGTTCAGTCTTTTTGGCAAGACCTCAACCAACTATCCAGGTTCTCTGGGCTACACCTCAACAGCTGGCTGAACAGTGCTGGATGGAGTTACACAAAAGAGCATATTAGTTACACTACAAATCCATGTTCATACTAGTGGATCCTCAAGTGGATCCACAACATGGCCCAGCAATGGTACCACCATTCTCTGATCTAAGTGCTCTCTGTTTCTGTAAAGCATTCAAGAGCTATATATGCCCTGATCACAGTGCAAAAAACCCTAAATTGAAAATAATCTTCCTTCAGCATTTTGAAGGTGATGCTTCATTATCTTTTTTCTGATATTGCTGTTAAGCAGCCCAAGACCAGAATTCTTATTTGTCACCATTTATGCATGGACTTTTCTTTTCTCTTCCATATTCCTTCCCTACTCCAAGTGTTAAAAATTCTCTCTAAATCTATAATGTTTTAAAATTTTATGATAATGAATCTTGGTATGGATCTAATTTTTCAATCTATTATATCAAATGCTCAGCAGGTTCTCCATAAAGTACGATAATTCAGTTCTGAAATACTTTCTTGTACAACTTCTTTAATACTTTCCTCTTCTGCATTTTCTTGAGGTTTTTCCCTAGAAATTTCATTAGTCGAATATTTCATATCCAGGTTACATATCTATGCTTTGTTTTTGCTCTACTCTGGGGAGGATTTCCTTAACTTTATCTTCTAAACCTTCTATTGATTATTTTAAAAATTCTGTCACATTAAAGTCTAAGAACTTTTATTCACTCTTTCCTTTTGATATCAAAGTTTTCATTTTCCAAAGATAATAATTACACTTTCATAAAAAGCTTTCTGTTTCTTATATTGACTCTATTTCCTATGAGTGCCCCTGCCCCACCCCTCCCCCCCAACACACACACACACAAACAACTCCTAGTTGTTTCAGTCTCTGTCTTTCCAAACAGAAATTATCCTCAAATGCTGGGTGATAATGACTCTCTCAAGCATTGTGCACTAAACCTCTGGGTGGAGAGCATGTTAACTGATGGCTTTACTGTCATGTGGAACAAAGTGATGTGGATAGTCTCAACCATTTCCTTGGAAAATCCTTGGAAAGTTTCTATCTGCAGATCTTTCCTCTTGTATCTGTCCTTTCTTACAGTGAGATTCTATAATCTCATGTCTGGAAGATACAAGCCTGGCTTCTAGCATTCTGGGAATGAAGAGAGAAGGGAGCCATTTAGTAAGCAGATTTTCACTCTCTTGATTTTTTCTGTGGCCACAAATTCTATGTCTCTTTTACCAAGTTAATAATCCTAGGTCTGTCATAGGCTTGGTCTTTGCATTCTATCTATACTATCTATCTGGACAGCCTCCTCTGTATTTCATATTTCAATTAACATTTTTAAGAAATTTATATTTTAGTCAAGACAACTAACCCAACTCCTGACTTATTTCCAACAATCCATGTGAATCCTGCACTTGGACTTCTCAAAGGAACCGCAAATTCCACAATCCCAAACCCAAAAAGTTGTCCCTTTCAGCATGTAATGTCCTGCTGGTTCTTATTTCAGTGCATCACACTTCAATTCATGAAACTGCACAAGCCTGGTCTTCATTCTTGACATCTTTCGCTCCTTCACCCTCATGCTGATCCTGCCAGCACTATTGATTCTACCTCTGGATGGGTTTTGAAACCACCTTTCTTGTCTCCACATCACCAGGTTGGCTCATGCTCCCATTCTCTTTGGCCAGGACTCATATGATAGCCTGCTGCCTGGCCTCTCTGTTTCCACAACTATCCCCTTCCACCTCTTTTCCACAGAACAGTAAGGGCCACCTTTACACAAAACAAATATGATCTTGTTATCATCCTTTCTGAAAACTACTGATCTAATGACCAAAATCCTCAACAAAGCTCAGGTGTCTGATGAGGTCTGGCCCCACCTTTCTCTCCAGGCTCATTTCTAGCACTTTTCTGCTCACCCTCAATGCTTGAGCAACACTGGCCTTTATCCTTTTCATGAATGCTCCCCTCTCCCTTCTATCCCAAGGCCTCAGCACATACCAGTCCCTCTTCCTCTCTTTGCTTGCTTTTGTCTGATCCCAGCTCCAGCTCCAGCATCCGGCCTCAGGAACCCTTCCAACCTCCTTAACTCAACAACGCAGCAAAACCGCTCCTAATAGTGCATGTGTTTGGATGGCAAACGTTTATCAACCAGTTATTCTTAGAACAGGTATACTTTTCTATATGCATTTTTCAGTTAAAAAGTTTTTAAATTTCCCTAAGCATAACTGCCCCCTGAAGAACATATAACAGTCATAACTGCACATGTATTTGTAATTTGTATGTTTCTTCCCTAACAAACGATAAACTCTCAAAGGTCAGAGACTTTCTCTGATGCTGTTTAATACAGTGCCTGGCATACAGTGGGTACTCTAAACATTTTTGAGTATAAAGATTAATGGGGGTAAAAATAAATTGTTCTGTCAGAAAGCATGCTGGGTTTCTTTTTTAAAATAGGAATGTTTAAACACGCAGGCATCAGGGTCTCCATGAACCTTGACAATTATAAAGAAGTTTGTATGTGTATTCAATAATACAGTCTTTCCCCCTAGGGCTGTGGTCGGCAAACTGCGGCTCGTGAGCCACACGCGGCTCTTTGGCCCCTTGAGTGTGGCTCTTCCTAAGCCTTAGGAGTACCCTAATTAAGTTAATAACAATGTACCTACCTATATAGTTTAAGTTTAAAAAATTTGGCTCTCAAAAGAAATTTCAATCATTGCACTGTTGATATTTGGCTCTGTTGACTAATGAGTTTGCCGACCACTGCCTAGGGAATGAATCCAACATTTCATCAGATTCTCAGAGTTTTATCACCGAAAAAGATTGAGACCAATGTTCTAGACTCTGCCAGAATTTGGTAGCTGTACTCATCTAATGACAGATGACTGGCAAAATAGAAATTGTGGTATCTTCTGCAAAACATGTTATCCTGGTATCCATTACAAAAGAGAATTTCCTATTATTAAATTTAAGTCCTTGAGATTCTTCCATGCTGATGACAAATCTCAGTTTTAAATGTCAGAGTTAATCCATGTCTGTAGGGATTTGTGCCCAGGGGCAAGGTAAACATATGTGAAGATAAAACAAGACTAACAAGGACAGGGACATTTAAAGGGCATTTATAGCGAAAAAAACAATAAAGAATGAGCTTTGTCTCAGTCATGCTGACACGAAGCAATGGCTGGTCTCCTCCAAACACACATGCTGAATAAGAGATCTTTTAGGTGACACAGAACCAGACAGAAGGCTTTATGGTGCTCAGACCAAATCCCAATGGTCTTTTCCCCGAATGGTGCCTATGAAAGGGTCCTGTAACCACGCACCACAATTGCTTCTCTGTGTTTCACAGGAAGCCAACAGAAAATGGATTTCAGTGCAGAGTCATTAGTCTGGATCTGAGAATGTATATGCTCCAAACTATTTCAAGCATTTAGTTTGAAAAGAAATGTAAAGCTTGGTGCATTTTAGCAAAACTTGGTAAGTTCATTTTTGAATATATTAAAATCAAAGTGGCCATTTGCTCAACATGTGCAATTCTTTTATGTTGGAAATGACAAAGTACACTAATAATTAAGAATGAAAAACTGTAAAAACTTTAACAATCATCAGACGATGCCAAATTCTTAATATATTTAGTGAAACCCACTACCCACATCCCTCAGCACACATATATACATAAAGGCATTTTAAAAGTATTTCCCAGGGGTGTTGCCACGTTTTTTAGTTGTCTGAATTGAACCAATCCTTGGTAGGGAAGGAGGGCAGAAAACCTTCCCTCCTGCCTTACTGAAATGATGGTCCATTACCCTGGCCTTTTCCAGATGTACAGCCCTGGATCCAAATCCCAGATGTGTTACAAAGGACAGTTCCTGCCATCTCCCCGAGCCAGTTTTCTTCTCTGTAGAAGTGAGATGATAATGCTGGGCCAGGTCCTGTCCACTGGTGCTCAGCCCCATCCCAACCCATCTGTCATCTTCCCTGTAGTGCCAGCACTAGACGGCGGGCAATTGCATTTTCCTGGACTCCTTTGCCAGCTGGGTTCCACTTAGAGACACTCAGGTGAGATCTGAAGGCAGGGGAAAAGGGGAGGCAATTGTGCTTCTGATAGTACCTGTGGCACCCACTCATGCGCTCCTGAGAAGTGGGGTTCCACAGCGTCAGCTACAGTGGTGGCACCTCCGACAGTGGCAGCCAGCAATGCCAGCAGCCAGCACAGGCTCCTGGGAGCCAGCTCAAAGGCAGAAGCAGCTCTGCATCTCTGGTAACACTCCCTTGTCTCCTTTTATTCCTCCAGCCCAGGGGCAGGGCAGCATCCAGACCTCAGGGCTGTACCATGTCTCTGCCTTTCGTTCCTTTCATCCTACTCATATTTGTGCACCAAAATTCCCTGCGTTAATCCCTCTCTGCTAAAAAGGCCTCGTGACTGAATGATACAAATGCCCATTTCTGTATGGTTATTATAAGGATAAAATGAGCTAATATACAGCAAGTAAACTGCTCAGGACTTCAATGGTCCTCAGGACATGATGAATGCCAACTATTACTCCATTATCCACTGTTGGTCATGATTTCTCTCCCCCTTTCCAGCCCTAGGAGGTGAGGGTGATATGGACCTTTCTCTGCTTAACTAACCATCAAAGGATTTCAGTGAAGTTGGACTGGTTGGAGAAAGCTGGGGAATACAGTTCTGGAAAACCGGCAGAAGTAGAAGAAATGAGACAGGGATGGACCAACAGGTAAGTATAAACAGGGCCGAAAAGACAGAAGGGCCTCTGCTTGCCAGACCCACCATGATATAAAAGGAATGTTGATGGTTATCTGAGAGCGTGACCTGAATGTCTCACAATTATAAAAGTCACTCATAAAATACCACTTACGTAGGTACCCAGGGCAAAACACAGCCCCATCATGTAGGAATGAAGTGGATTTCCCCGGTGAGTCATTTCTTGGGTCTTCCTCTCTTGGACCTGCCCCACTGCCCACCCTGCTTTGCAAAGAGAGTCCCAAACTTCTAGATACGGACGTTTATAAAAAATTAAATAGTACACACATGTACATATAACCACCCAAACAATCCAACCTGCTGGGCAACACAATGCATTTTCTCTGCGCTTTGAAAGGAGTTTTGCTCACATTTATACAACCGTATCTGCCTGAGAGCAGAGAACACAGCCTCAGTTGCGATTAATCTGTAACATAATTTTGTCTTCCTAGGCTGAAACATGTAATGTCTTTTATGTACTAATATATGTCATTGACATAACATGTTATATAATTTGTTGCACATACTATATAATATATATTATTAAAGTATATCATATATGTATTTCTTAACAACTTATCAGTACAATACAGAAAGCAAGTTCCTGTTAATATTTTTGAAATTATGCTCTGAATCTGGCTGTTTAAGAGAAATGCTTCGGGACCCCTAACCTATTTTATTTATCTCAGAAAATATAGGCTTTCTGCTCTCCTGGGGAGACAAACAGTCTTGATATTATGAGAATAACCCGTGATAAAAATGTGACTGGGACCGAAAATTAAATCAGGGGCTGTGCTCAGCCTACCTTCTCCTTGTCGGCTGTACAGAGTCGTTGTCGCTCCCACAGGAGGGGTTTCGGCGGCGTGCGCAGGGGAACTTTGGGGACTTCGTGCGGTCATGGGGAGAGTTGTAGAGACCACTAGAGTGAGAGAGGAATGGTCGATAATCCCTGGAGGCCCTGGAGGAGCAAACACCCTAACCCCAGACCCCAATGGTCCTAGGGGGGCAGTCATGACTGCACAATTGGTACTTTCAAGGGAATTGTGGGCAAACGGTGCTTTTTGTTGACAAGATACATTGAAAGAAAAGAGGGGTAAAATCTGGTAAAACAAATCATATAGGTCATTATTTTGCAGGAATGGATTTTTCTTGGTGGCCTTCAACAATGAGAAATGAACAGACACAAAGGTCAGGAATAATTACAACAATGAATTGCATTTATGATGAGCCTACCACCTGCCAGGCGCTGACCAAGCTCAAAACTTTGTATTCATTATCTTAGCGAATAGTCATATTAACCCTAAGCACTGAAGTACAATTATTAGGCCCATTTAACAAAAAAGATAAGAGAAATACAGAATGTTTCATTCAGTAGCCCAAGTAAAGTAGCTAGAAAGTATAGAACTAGGATTTGAACCCCTGAGTAGTCATACCTGAAACCATCGTAAGGATGTGCCCAGGAAGTTATAATGCAAGTATGTCGCTGCTTTGATAGTTATGAACAAAAGAAACTAAATATATATTTTTATGTCTTCTAGAATTACTATTCATCAGCTACAGATTTCAACTCACGTTTTTATAAGAACTATGAAACTGGAGGAAGTATCATTACTACATTTCATTTAGAGTTTTCCAAAATACATCATCTCTAAACCAGCGGTTCTCAACCTGTGGGTCGCGACACCTTTGGGGGTCGAACGACCCTTTCACAGGGGTCGCCTAAGACCATCGGAAAAACATATATAATTACATATTGTTTTGTGATGAATCACTATGCTTTAATTATGTTCAATTTGTAACAATGAAATTGGGGGTCACCACAACGTGAGGAACTGTATTAACGGGTCGCGGCATTAGGAAGGTTGAGAACCACTGCTCTAAACCATCACGGTGACCTTCCAAGGCAGTTTCTTAATATACACTGGTTTCCTCTCTGTCCTTCCAGGAGAGAGTTCCACGTTGGGACACATCCTGTTGATCTCCACTTCACAAGTTCCCGGTCACGCTGATGCAGGAATCTGACTGCCTGGTCCAGAGCTAGTCCTGACCCGCCACAAAGCAGGTGGATTCTATTATTTGATAGAGGCAACTGCTAACCCCTTCCCTACTGTTCTCCTTCAGAAAAACAAAGATCCCCTTACCTCTGGGGGCCATTTTCTTCCCACGGCGCATGAGGTTTGCTTCTTTGGATATCAGGACTATTTTCATTCTTGGCTTTCTTAAAGCTTCAATTAAAAAAAAAAAGTATGAAACACAAATTAACTAGAAAATAAAAGGAAGTTAACTCACATACTTATTTCTCCAGTAAAATTATTTAACAAATGTTTAAAAATGTGTTTATTTATACCCATGACTCATTCCAAAAAGAATATGATTTTCCTACAAAAATACATGTCTCCAGCAAGTACTTTTGTGTCTTTCCCCCTCTTTTTCTTTCTGGTTTTACTGCTTTAAGCGAACAGGAGCCAGGTCATCCATTGTTAAGAGACTTTCAAGAGAGCCCACCTGCAGGACAGGGAGCACAGGCATCCAGGCTTGTGTGGCCGGCTCCCTCTTTTCAAGGTGGTCAGAGACCCCTGGCTCTGGGTGTGGGTCTGAAGCTGTGCAGGGCAGTCGGCTCTGAGCAGGTTCAGGCTGCCCCCACTGACCTTGCCCTGCCCTCAGCTTCCGCCTTCCTTGGCATCATCCTTCCAAATCAGAATGACTTTCAATGCTATTTCCTGACCAAGTATCATCTTTCTGCCCTAAGAATGTAAATATATCTGAGTTGTTATTCCATCCCAACAAATTGTTTTAGAAACACAGGGGAGACACCAGGAAGGGACTTCTTAGAAGCCTTCGTCACTGGTGGGGGAGGGGGGAGTGCCTCCTCTCAGCTTCCGAAAGAGAGCTACTGAACTGGTGCCCTTTAACCCTGGCTCTCTGAGGAATCCTCTACATACTGTCTTCAAACCTGGTCCTAGCGGGGTTCTTTATATCAGCCAAGAAAAAGGAGAGAGAAAAAAACGACAAGGTCATTTCAAAATATGAAAATAAACTTGCACCCTAGGATATTATAACCACACAGGAATATAAATCTAAAAATATATTTGATGAAAGCACATCACTCATAGTATTAGTAGGTAGTAAGTAGTAGGTTTTATAGTGAAGAATGTGTTCTTTATAGAAAGGTTAAAAACCTTTGGAAGATCAAATTTCCAAAGTAAAAGCTTACTTTTGAAATGAGGCAAAGTAATAAATATGCTAGATGTTTAATGCAACAGTGGAAAGTGTGCGCACACGCGCGTGTGTTTAATAAGTCAGGAGAAAAGGCGAGACGAGACAAGGGAGATTGAGAAAGGGAGTAGCAAGATGAAAGGGGAATTGGGAGAGTAGGCAGAAGTTAAAGAACAATGACACCCTGGGTGGCGAGTTAACTGCCTCCTAAACTATTTCTCATCTAAAGCTTGAGTGGGAAAATTCTGGCAGGCCTTTAGGTATCAGTCCTTGGCAAGAATGCAATTACAAAAGAGATTGAACTGCTTCTATACATTCTAAAAAGCTTGGGATCTGAATTTCATGGAAGATTACTGATCTTCTGTTAGACTTCCCACCGCACACCCTGAACATACAGATTAAGCTGACTCTGTCCACAGCTGTGAGGCTGATTAAGGGAAGCACAGTAAACTAAAGTGTCTGCAAAGGCAAAGAACTCATCATTCCAAAGAGAGAATCTGTAGGGAGTGTTCTAAAACTAAACAAACGGAAATGAAATCAAAACCCTGGGAAAAACATTCCAACTTGATATAAGAACCCTCATATCTTGAAATTATTTTGCTGAGAAATTACAAACAGTATTTCTCCAAGCAGTCACAATCCAGCTGAATGAAGACCCCCGTATTTACTAACAAAGACGGAGCAGGTGACCTCAGAAGTCTTTCCAGGTCACACGTTTCTGACAGCTTGGACCTCTCCAAGATGTGTGGGCGGCCGTCTCCAGAGAGAAAGCGAGGGGCTGAACGCTGCTCAGTGTACGTCTAAAACGCTGTCCCCTGAACATCATTGGGGACAGGAAAAAAGGACACTGAAACTGTGTGTTAGAGAACAAGGCTGATCTTCCAGGGAAACAGTCCATGTAACATAGCAAGGAAGGTTTTTCCTCTGGGGAATGCTGCTGGGAAAATGGACGCGAGGACCATGACCACTCTTCATACATATGCAATCACTGCCTTCTGAAGCCCTGCACCTCTAAATGCTATAAGCCCGCTTCCCGGGGCCACAACTCAGTGCACTGCCATAATGAACACAGTACATTAAACATGAATATCATCCACTTTATTTCACAGGTCTGAGTTAGTCCATCACATCTCGCCATTTAAAAAATCACATGGACTTTTCACTCTGCTGCCGAGAACGCAGACCTCCGATTACCTCTGAGAGCAGCACGCTGTGACAGCAGGGTGTTTCCTTCAAACGAGGCAGGCAGGTCCTGATGTGGCATAATTCGCTGGCATTTTAAAATATCCTTTGGCCCCAGACTATTTTGATCGAAAGTACTACTGAATTACCAAAGTGAAGAGATTCGTCACCTTGCTCAGGAAAATTCATCTTCGTGACAATATACAGTGTTATGTTCCTCCGGTTAATTGACTGACCTTTTTATTGGTGAAGGTGCAATAATTTTAGTTGTTCCTTCATTTTCTCCATTTTCCGTGTTTGCAGTTACCCGGTTTATGCTGTTTGATCCTGGGAGCAAAGAAGAGGAAAACACGGAAGGGAGGAGGACAAAGTGATCAAGAAAACACAAAGAAGCAAAAGAGTTACTTTACAATGCAATTTTAGGGCTGTCATGGCACCTTGTACTGATAAATTACAATTCCAAATAATAATGAGTCGAACAATAAATCTGAGGTGCTGTTTTCTGGATGCAAAAAAAACCAACCCTCAATCCTCAACATAACCACGTCATATGGGGTCTAGGCTCTGGCACCTCTCTAAAATGGGACCTTTTGCCACTTAAAGAATTAACTCCCTACATCATGAGAAAGTCTTTGCTTTCGACTGTAAAAAATAAGACTCTAAGATCCTTAGTGCTATACCTTGAAATATATAAGGTAAAAATTGATGACTACGTTGTAAAGAAGTTACATTTGTTGGCATGCCATGATAGCTCCCATTCTATCAAACAAAGCAAACAACAACACATTTTCAAACTGAAAATAGGAAAATATCCCAACTTATTATACAAATGGCAAAAAAAGAGTGTATCACTCGCTCTCTCTCTCTCTCTCTCTCTCACACACACACACACACACACACACACACACAAATGTTTTCAAATATGTTTGTGCAAATGTTCCTTAAAAGCCTAAAACTAACTTTGTAAAAGCTGCTACTCCAAGAATTTGCATATATGCTAGGTGGACCAGCAGAGGGAGCCCAGCAGATGTGATGGAAATCAGGATTCAAAGGGAGCTAAGTGAAAGGGCTAAGCCCACTAGGAAGTCTGGACCCCATTCTCGGAACAGAGGCTCATACGCCTGCAGGGTGACATGCACCTCACTGGGCTGGCGCAGGGGAAACCAGTGAAGGGAGGCCCGAGTCCTTGTTCAGTAAACTCTGTGTCATACAGGCGTGTCCACCTCAGAGAGGCATCTTGTAGGGGACAACCACAGTTCGATAATAAGTGTCATCACCACTAACCACAAGTGGTTTTCGAGTCATGAGATGAATTTGTGATGCTAATAAGGGCTGATATTTATTGAGCACGTACTATGTGCTATTCCAAGCACTTCACATCTCTTTATTCATGTAATCATGTAAGTAAATACTAATACTATCCCATTTTTAAAGACTTTAAAAATGGGCCTTTCCCAAGGTCCCACAGTCCCACAGCTTATGAGTGTGTGGCGGGAAGGGGGGGGGTCGGGGGGGAGGAGGGGGCTTTGAAACCCAGTGGTGTGGCCCCCCCACCACCCGGCCTTCCATGTGTGCTCTGTGCCCCACCCTCAGGTAGTTAAAAAGTCTGTCTAAATAAAGCGTCCACTAGGAGACAGACTCTCTAGAAAACAAGTGGAAAGAATGTCCAATGAAGAGAACATCCTATCGCCAACTAAGAGGAGTTTTTTCTCTCCAGGGCAACTGAGACCGGAAGACCACACTGAGCACCCCCACCCCAGGTGGCAATTTCTTACAGAGCAGTTTGTAGGCACATTGGTTGACTATCTATCAGGAAAGGCAAACATTAATGAATAACCCCAGACAGAGGAAACAAACAGTGGTTTCAAATTAGAGGTCCAAAAACTACTATTCTAAGGAATTTGTCATGAATTCAATACCTGACGTTGGCTCCTATTTTGTAACCCTGAAACGGAAAGGTGAGCCTGAAAATGCACGTGGCATGAAAGGCCACTCGTACTAAAGCGACCTTCAGAACCCAGGCACGAGGAAAGAAGAACTCTGGAGCCGACGGGAAATTTCACAGGAGAGTTCATGGTAAGTGGGACACAAGCAATTCCCTTAACTACCCTAGGTGCTATCAGGTACGGCAATGGCCAGTCACTGTCTATTTGGCCATGGCCATTAATAAAGTCGTAGGGGCAGATTCCCAAACTACAGGCACAGATCAGAGCTGGAGCTGCTTCTGGAAGTTGGAAGTCTATGTGGGATGGCCCTGGGGCAGTTGCAGGAGGGATTAACTCACTTGTGGCCCAGACATTGTTCCAAATAAATGTTTTTTTTACTGCAGTATTATTCTCAGCAGATATTATGAATTCATATAAATGAAAGGGACCTTCATGTACCTAGGACTATTTTCCCAGACTGGGGGGAGGAGGAAGCGCAGCAGAGAGACCAATACCAGTGCCAATCACTCCAACCAAGGAAGCACTAAGTCAAGGTGAACATCGCGGTAACGAAGCACCGTGTCACCCGCTTCAGAATAAGCCTAGGTTTGTTCCAACCCCCATCTCCTCAGACTGATTAGTCTTTTCTTAGTCTAACAACTAATCACCTGGGGGAAAGTAAGGTACTTAATCACTTTCACCCCTCCCATCCAAATCTTCCAAAAATTAATAAGCAGGTAGACAAACAACTGAGGAATATTTTTAAATAGAAAAAAATTCAAACTAAATGTGCATATATTTTTCTTAAAGAAACCAATACTTGGTTATTCACAACATCCAAATCATAATTTTTAAGATGAAACACTAGATGGATGGTTTTCCAAAATAATTTCTGGAGGGAGTGTGTGACACACACACAGGCTCTCTCAGACACTCACAAGCAGTAGGCTTCTTCAAAATAAACTATTCGACTGTCAGGACTATTTTATTAACACAGCAGTCATAATTCTCACATGCACAGCATAAATGAGTTAAGCTATTGTCAGTAATACAATCTAATTTATGGCTCGTTTATATTGAAAACAGTAGACTACTAATAACAAATCTGTTCATTCGTATTCCCCTACTCTACAACTCTATCAAATGGACCACCCTGGGTTTTAAAAACCTTATGAGGATAACAGACTTACAGAGGGAAAGCTACTTCCAAGCAATAACTTACTAGGAACACTTATGAAGTGTCCATTCATATAATAGTCAGATGCAAACTAAAATTTATTCTTTTCTATTCATGGGTATAGGGTTCTTAAAAAGCCTTAATTAGGTAATACTCACATTACTAAATGTGCATTTGAAAGTAATAACTAGCCCTAACTGGTTTGGCTCAGTGGATAGAGCATCAGCTTGTGGACTCAAGGGTCCCAGGTTCGATTCTGGTCAAGGGCATGTACCTTGGTTGCGGGCACATCCCCAGTAGTGGATGTGCAGGAGGCAGCTGATCAATGTTTCTCTCTCATCGATGTTTCTAACTCTCTATCCTTCTCCCTTCCTCTCTGTAAAAAATCAATAAAATATATTTAAAAAAAATAAAAGTAATAACTAAAAAAAAGGTAATAACTATACTCTTAACACTGTATTTTAATCATCTTCCTAATTAAGTTAAATTAGTGTGATTTTCCCCATACTACCATTTAAAAAGAGAGCTAAGCAATTCAGTAAGGCTAGGTTATGTGTTGGTTACTGAAATATGAAAGGGTGGGAAATATAAATTATGCATTATTTAAGTTCACTGACTTTCCATTTTGCTGACATCCATTGCCAACTTTTTCTCCCCTCATCATACCTCCTCCAGAACCATCCCTTCCACATTAGCTCAGATTCTTGGGCTACAGAGAAGACGGGATCTGACAAGCCCTAAACACTAAAGGGCTCATGTCTGCATGCATTATTGGCCACAGACTAGTTCCATTTCAAAGAGGAAAAGGAGAAGCCACGTATTAACTAAAATAACTGATAACAATGGAATTTAGCTGTTTCAGGAGATATTTTGAGGTTGGTGAAATCTTTTCCCCCCATTCCTTTTTCATTGTAAATTATAACTGACCACTGAAAAGAATGTATCACACATATATGAACAGTTTAATAAACTATTATAAAGTGAATGGCTAGTTAACCACTCCCCACCTCCAGAAATATAACAATGAGGCAATTTTCCTACACTACACAAACCACTCTCTTTGGGGCAACTCCTTCTTTTAGATAAAGTCAAAGAGTCAGTTTCCATCTAAAATATCTAGAAGCAGAAAGCATTATGTATTCATTTCATAAAATATGTATAACATACACAATAAAATTATTACTTTTTAAATTTTTAATAAAAGTTAATAAGGCCTCAAAATCTTTTCACATATAACATTATGTTAACAACATAAGGATTCCATATTTGTATACACTGTGAAATGATCACCACAATACGTCTGGTTAGCATCCATCACCACACATAATTTCAATTTTTTTTTTCTTGTGATGAGAACTTTTAAGATCTACTCTCCAAACAACTTTCAAATATGCAATTCAGTATTGGTAACTATGGTCACCATGCTGTACGTTACGTCCCCATGACTTATGTATTTTATAAGGCCTCAAAGTTGCAATAAAATGAAGGACACACCACTGTGCCCTCTCCCCATGACTGACAGCACAGTAGTAGGTTTTCAATGAAGGTCCATTATTGTAAAGGGGTTTTTTTTCCCTTCTATTTCTGCTATTTTTTCCACTAGAAGGGAACATTTCAAGATAATTATGTTATGTTTAAAAAGTGTCAAAAGATGAGAAAAAAAAAAACAACCTGAAGGTGGTAGTATGGGAAATGCAGGACAAGAGGACATGCAGGACAAGAGGACACGTGCCCCATCCTGCAGGATGGGCTACTTCTCGGAGCTTTCAGTGCAGCCTTGTGCTGTAGCGAAGTGCTCTTGTAATGAGAGTCACAGATGGTCTATAACAAAGATCAGTTATTGACATGTGATTATCAAGGCTCCTTAGAAAATCTGTATTTTATTTTATTTTAGATAGAATGAAATATTAACTGTGGCAAGGCCATTTAGAATTAGGAGCACCCGATTCATTTTATATATTGTTCACATTAAAAACACAAAGGACTTCATTTTAAGAGGCTGCTCACGTTGGGAAGAATACGTTTATCAGGGGACTGCTATAGTTAATGAAGAGGCAAATCTAGCTCATGAACTGTGATCATTTTTGTCTCTGGACTGTTATCACCATAGCTTTATAGGAGCCCACACAATTCCCTGCAGTTGTGAAGACACTGCAACGCCAATGTCCCATGGTCTCTTGTTTGTTCATTTGTTTACACCCTAAATGCAAATGCTTCCAGCCTGC